AATTTTCACGGTGAAAAAGAATGGAAATGTCGTGAGAGAAAAAGTTTTGAAAGGAAAAACGATCTTTTATTACTTTTTGGCATAATTTGATATAAAGTTTAGTGTGCTTTTTTTGACCGTCCATCTCCTTTATGATTTTAGTGATTTGTTTACTCCTGCTCATGATTAGCTTACATGTTTGCCATTTTGCTTACTGGTTTCAGTTTAGATTCATCATTGTGAGCAAGCGCAGAGAACCAATAAATGTTCATACAGTTTGTACAGGTGAAACCGTATACAGAATGGCAAATATCTATTTATTTACTGCAGATTATTTTTGTATGATTGCCTTTTGGCTAGAACATCCTATTAGCTAAGTTTATTATTTTGATTAATCTCAATGTTAGATAGTATATGACACGCTGAGAATTACTGTAGAGCTAAAATAAGAGTGTACGGACATTACTGCCTATTTTCCTCTTTCTTTCCCAAATTAAAACTGAAATAAAAGCTGAAGCTTGTCTAATCATATCGTTTGCTATATTTCATTATCAGTAAAGGATCTATCATCTTTAACAGCTCAGTAGAGTGTGCTCAGCATTCTTAATTAAAATTCTCCTCAGCAGTAATCCATAGAGCGAAATATGAAATAGTTGAAAAGGCAGTGCTGATATCGGAATTCGATGGTGGTCATTCGTTGAGGTTAAGTGCATTTATGCTTCCTCTTTCCTAGTGAATGCATTTCTGTATCAACCAATAACGTTAAGATGACAGGGCCATATTAAGGAATGATTCATTACAAGTGTGGGAGGGGCGCGATGACTCATGTTTTCAGGCTTTCACCATTCTGGTCTGTTAAGGGGTAAGTATCGGCTCTTTTTGCTCTATTGCTCATCCCGCCAATTGATACAACAAAATTTCATCAACGATTCCTACTTTGTCTTCCACGATCGCACACTTTGTTATAAACTAAAAAATCTATAGAGGAAGAAAATTGTGTAAACAGAGGAAGGATTGTTGATGAAAATTTGCCGTATCAAAAGTTTGCATTCGTAGGCAAACTTTCCCATTACACACATGCCACACCAGCTGATCTCTTTCTGTTAGCACACAGATTCTTTTCTTGGCAGAAAATGGATTTTTATTTTTCTTATTTTGGATTATTAGCACGCCCTTCAAATATTAAGTTTGAGCTGCTAGGGAAAGTTAGCAAACCGATACTAAACAAATGACCCATAACTTTCAACAGTGTTTGGTAGTACTTGCTTATCCCTCTATTATTCTCACTAGCGAATGGGCAAACCGATCTTAAATGCAAATGAGGAATGAAAGAGTAACTAACTGAAGCAAAATAATGCGTGCAATACGACTATTTGCTTTTTTCCCACCCTGTGGTGCACCTCACCTCTTATCTCCTCCTCTGCACCTGACGTAATGAGAAGTCGCTGTCATATTGTGCTGGATTCTGATTTGTACTCTATTTCGTTTGCCTTTATGCTTCTCTTGTAACAGAAGAAAAATTCAGTGTTCGATTCTGTTACCGATGTTTGTAATTCCATTTTTCCTTGACATATATTTTCTTGCTGAAAACGCGAACGAAGAAGTAAATGCCCTTGCATTCGTTTTTTGCGGGCTAAATTGCTAGTGAGACCATTGAAAAATTGATTAGGAATGAGGAAGGAAGTCATAGGGATACATCTACTGGGCTCTGCAATACTGCCATAAATTACACCTATTTCTCTGTCCATCCACGTGCATATATCAGTGCGAGGTACCTATTCGCAAGTAGCTGCACATCGCATAAATTCATTTGCTTAATTATGATGACTTCATAAATGTGAACCCCACACATGAACTTAGACGTGTGCTTTTTCTTCTACTTAATAGTCATCTTGTGAACTGATAACTAGTGAATAAACATCGCGCAAATTGAGCACAATATCGCTCCTCCGTTAGGGCGGTAGCTTTCAGGGTTCTGTTAGTCTCATGAAGTGGAATTATTTTTACTGTTTTATTTGTTCATCCCATACATTTGTGTAAGACGGAAGAATATCAAGTACTCCAAAAATAATATAGGTTGAAGAGTTGTGGAAAGTGTGACTAAAAATTCCGAAAACTGACAGCATATTTTGTTAGGGTTACATATGCACATTACCATAACAACACGATAATTCGTTGATTATAGCAATTATAGGCGACTAAGATACTTCTATGGTTTTCTTAGCATACTTATTGGAAATTGCCTTGACCTTAAAATGAATGCGAGATGGAAGTGAAAGTAAAGTAATGCCGTAACTCATTGATTTTACTTTTGTGCGCAAGAAATCAGGTATTATTCACTCAGTGATGTGTGAAATAAGCGTTCTTGCAAGTTCTAGCATTGTGCAGTAATTAATTGGCCGTTGATTATGCATTTATGCAGAAAAACAAATTATTGCTTTGATTGAAGAGAACACGAAATGTGCTGTTTAATGGTTTGCTTGCTTATTGTAGAAGAAAGCGCTGCAATTATGAAAGATATATGCTGAATCTTTACACTACTATTCTGTGCATTACGTAAATTTTTAAGTGTCGATTCCTTTCGCATTCTTTACTTGTTTGTCATCGTGCAATCTGCAAGTTATATGTGATTAACTGGATTGTGATGTGTTGTTTCATTTGTCCGTTTTTTCTATTATTTTTTTCAATCTACAGGAAATAAGTTTAGCTGAGCTAGTATAAACTCATGGCAAGCTGCCTACAGCTTTCGACAGGACAAAATTAACCCTATTTTTTCTATCTTTCCTCCTGTTCCTTTTCTTCATTACAATGTTGCGTTGTGTGATGTAGTCTCAGCTTCTTTCTGCGTACACGTCATACTTCCAATTAATTCTAGAAATGTCCAAATTTCAAGGCAAGAGGGGAATAAGCAAGTTATGTGGTAGCATGCAATGAACGAACGCCTCGTACTTATTCTACCCCATGCTCACTCGTTCATTTTTCGGTTCATCTGTCTAACCATCAATACATTTATTTATATCTGTTCATCCACGTATCTCTCTATCAAAAAATATAAGATGCGCGAGATGTATGCGTTACTTATTTAATCCCTTCACTCTTCTGCAACTGCTGCTTTTTTCTCTTGTAATTGAATATGTAAAGTTTAAATGAATGTCGTTGAAATGTTTTTTAAAGCGACTGCTTGCTAATTACTTGTAATCATTCATTCTCGCCCGTTGTATTTCCCTTTCATTTTCCACAGTGAAATCATCCATTCCTTCCTTTTCTTTTTTTTCTTTCAAATGCATTCGCTCAGTGTTAAAGACATCTGTAAAAAGAATGCATGTATGAGGGAGGCATTTTCAAGTTTGTTTTCACTCTCAACCCCCTACAATCCCCTTATGATTTCATTTTATGTGTGGGAGTTTTATCGCAGTCAAATATTCCCTCAGAGTCGTTTTAAAATAGCTTTTTTTTTCTGTTACTAAATTTCTTACTTTGAGCTCTGTGTTTTACTTCCAATTACAACATGCATATGTGTCGCCGTTTCATGCGCATAAGTGCTCAGCTATTAACTTTGCTTCACTGATGAATCATTACAAAACCATTTTACAAGTATCCATGAACCAGGTCTATTTCTTAGCAAGTGCACGAAAACTGTTGATTGTGATGTGATATGAATTTAGTTAGGATCATTAAGTATGCTAACATAAGATCGTGTCGCAAGGTTCGTCACTCATTATGTTATCCATTTATGCGTTCATCCATTCATGCCATTCAATTATCATCTTTTTTTCTGCCAGTCCTTACTTGTTTTACATTGCTCCCATTTTTCTTCCTTCTTTTAGCACCATCTTCAGTGTTTGATAAGACATTACTGTCGAATAAAAATAAAATAAGTTTCTTTTTTCTACATCATATGTAAAATAATTTAAAAATAAAAATACATATTTTGTCGTTTTTAAGATTTCACTTCCCATTATAGATTGTTTTACTTGAAAAGGCAATAAGTAGTGACCATTGCATCATGTTAAATAAATATTTTATATGGAACTCCTACATTGTATTTAGTACATAGCAATTTTTGAAATAATTTAGTCACACGTAACACTTGGACCATCGGTCCTGTAAATTGAACAGGCTATTATTATGTAATCCTCGTAGTCATTACATAATTGTTACTCGTGCCTAATTTTCTGAGTTTTATCATTTCAACCCTGCTGGATTTGACATGATTTTAGGTCAATCAAGTTTGAAACCAATATCACTTTATTAATTGTTGTTGTTTCGTTATTAACTAAACAGTGACTGATTACTGTTCGTGATCATTTTTTAATTACTGTTGTTATTATTTCGTATAAAATGCTGATATTTATAATAGTTACTAGTGCTATTACTGTATTAATTTATTTGCAGTACAACATCCATGATGATAGATTTTTAGTTTCCATATAGCTGTCACTACGTTCAACACAGAAAGTATCTAGTATTATTCCATTTTCGTCACTGCCTGTTACTGCTAGCTCTCCTGACTTAAAACATTTAATGACTCTCTCCATTATTATTTGTCTTACTATCATCATGACTAGCTGCTTTGACAATCATGCAAGTATGTATTAATAGGTCATAGATCCTGCTGAATATGTTTTCGGTCTCCATTGAAATTAAGTTCTGGTGTTTTTCTGACGTTTGACCCTTGAACGCAACATAGCATCTTGTTTCCTTACTTGCAGTATTACATCAATCAAATCAGAAAGTTGTGCTGTCTTCTTCGAATTTTCTATCATCATATTTATTATTTTTGTGTAGTTTTAGAGTTGAACTTTATGCATCATTTTTTTGAATTTATTTCTTGCATATTCTCGAAAGATGCATACCAATTGTTTGACGTATCTGAGGCGGTCGACATGTATAAGATTTTCATTGCGTTGACTGTAGCCAACTAAATTGTTCTATTTTTTGTGCTCATTGTTACCTTCAATTTATTTATTGCGTTAAAAGAACATTTTTTGTGTCTTGTACAATAGCATCAACGTTGCAGGATGCTTATACTGATTGAACCACCGGGTGCCAAACATCATGACGTAAGTGGATCCGGCGGGCACGACAGTCATCGCCTTTTGGCTTTCAACACAGTTGAAGAAGATGAAGCTGAAAGTGATGATGTAGTTGCAGCCACTTCTGTCATTACAACTTCATGCTCACAGGTGTTATATTCACAGTTGTGATTATGGTAAACTGAACCATTGCAACTTCTATCATGTTTTGCATCTATTCCTAGTGTTATTATTGTGATGGAGAGTGAATAATAAAAACTTTAGCGTTAAAGCAGTGAGTAGAATGATCGTTTGTATAAAAGTCTTATATTTACTTGAATTTTGAAACTTTGTTCTCAGTGAGTCAGCGTGAAGAACGGGATATCTTGTTATAATTGTTTCGTCTGTTTATGCTCTTTATTCCCTAAGTTTTAAGTGCAAAATATCGACAAAACATTTAATTCATTTTTAAAAGTCTCGATTTCATTTGAACTTTTTCACAGAATGGTGGTATTGTTTTTCATTATTCAGAAAATAGACCAGTTTCTGGTTGGAAAATCCAATTCATATGAATTTTCGGAAGAGTGGAAACGAGAATTCAGTGAGAGACCTTCATGGTGTGACGCTGATATGGCTTTGCAGCAAATTAAACGAGTGAGAGAACTTAACTTCTATATTATCAGTGCATGTCTTTACTTGTTGCTCCTATACTTGAAAAGTTTTAAAAATGTAAAAGTGGTTGCTATTTAATTTCTGTATGTCGTAATCACTTCATGCGAATGCTATTATTATATTTAACGCTAAACACAGGAACAGTTATGAGCTTGTCAGATTTTCACAAATGTAATAACAAACTTCTTTTTCGTAGTTATATTATTTAAATTATAGGGTAAAGCTCGCGGTAATCGAGGAGCTTTGTATTTGCGAAGCCTTATACAAAAAGTGTTATTTACTATGGGAACCTTCGTGCAACAACATGCTTGTCTTGTTGTTGTCACTATTGTTATATTCTTCGGTTTCTGCTGTTATGGTTTACAATTTATTCGCATCGAAACAGATATTGTAAAATTATGGGTGGCACGTAAGTTTTATGTAAGTCAAATATGCGTGATTTAGGTGTACTAATACGACAGTTGACTGTATCTGACTTATAATTTTAGCTTGTTGACATTTTTTTTTACCTTGCTTTCTATCCATTCATCATTTGCAGCGAATTTTTTTTTGTTGAGCTTTATCGCCCTTTTATAACATTTTAGGGCAGCAATTCAAAATTAATATAAACTTAAAACATTCATCTTCGCAATTATAAATTAATTCTTCGACTCTCAATGCAATTGCTGCCCCAACTTAATGCTTAATAAAGAGTGAGAAGTGATATTTCTTGTGCTAAACCTAGCAATTTCAAACTCAGATATTGAATTCAACTTACTAAATCACTTTATACAATATATTTGAAATTTTAAGGGGGGAAATAATTTTTGAACTCCATCATTTTGTGCATATATCCATTTAAGCTGATATATTTTTCAAGAGTGAGCAGGATTTGATTATTTTTTCATGTGATAGGTGGTGGACGATTAGAAGAAGAACTTAGTTTCCTCTCACGAGTAGAAGAGTTAAATTTGGGTGTAGTAAATGACGAAACGGGTCTCGGTGGAGCGTATCAGGTGTGATTGTACCATAGTTATTTTTAATTAATTTATTTTTTGCTTATTTTCATCTACTATTGATCAAAAAGTAACAAATGTAATAACTTGTTTTTAACCAAACGTTTTAGGTTACAAAAGGTAAAAATTGGAGGTCGTGTCAGTGTCAAGTAATATTGAAATAAGCTTTATTCGGTACCGTTTGCAGGTTGTGATTCAAACTCCCCGAAATGAAGGGGATAATATACTTACCCAAGAAGGTTTACTGGAACACGTCACGATCATGGAACAAGTTGCCAAATATGAAGTAAATGTGGCTGGCGAGTAAGTCGTTTCTGCGGTTTCGATTCATTAATTTAATTTATGTCTTTGTTCTTTTGTTCACTTGTTTTCTGAATTTCTTTTGATATCGCTTTACAAGTTATTTCTTTTCACTTTTAACTGCTTCATACTTATCCAGGTTTTTTACTAATATTTATTAGTTTTATTTAATTGGATTTTTATATGACAAGATGCGTTTTTGTTTACACTTGGTGCACGGCACCAAATGTAGTGCTTTTTACCATGAGCTGTCAAACGAAAAAATATAACTTTAATTCTTGTTATCATTTATTGTAGTATTATTACAGAATTATCCGGAATATTATCTCCCCATCAAATCCACCTTAAAATGTTGGGATTTCATTATTCCAAAATAAAATATTGTGAATAATAAAGTATCAACTTTCTGAATTTGGTACTTCATGCCTCCACTTTTCTAAAGATATTCCAGGAATTGGACTCTTTCGGATCTCTGCTTCAAGCCACCGTTACCAAAAATTAGTAACTCATCTTTCGCTGCTCGATTTTTACCTCTTATTGACAAAACGATACCGTGCATTTGGATCACACCAATTGATTGCTTTTGGGAAGGATCCAAAGCAACTGGGCCGCATCCTAGCATTGAAAGCAGGTTGAAAATGTCTTTAATGCGAACTTTGATTTCATGTGTTTTGTTTTATTTATTTCTAAAGAGAGCTTTTTTACAATCAAAATGTTTTTATTTTATGATTCTTTTTTCAGCTCACTCGGAATAGTAAAGGAATTTTTATCTTCACTGCCAAACAAGGATACATTTTCCTGGTCAAATATTGATCCACAGGCACTTATAGATGAATTAGCCGAAGTTTTGGATTTAGACAATTTCAACAACTTTTTTCATCGTGTGAGTTTGCATTTCTGCTGTAAGACTGCTCCCAGTAACCATTAAAAATTTTGCCAGTTTGGAATTCTGTTAGTTCTTGTGCTTTTCTTTTTTCAGTTATGTTTGGTCAGTCCCGGACTTCTAGCCTCAAAGTATTTTATTGTAGGCTAACATAGGAAAAGGTTATCTTGATCGGTGGTGCATTGATCCATTAGATCCAAATTGTCCAAGTAGATCGCCGAATCATTTCGCATTTTGCGATTTAATTCCCCGATTTTTGGAATATGCAGAAAAGCAAGGCTTCGAAGTACCAGTTGACCCAGAATACTTACGCCGTGAAGAACGAAAAAGCAATGGAAGAGGATATAGTCTTTTTGATTTGTTTGGCAAACGTTAGTTCCGTAATTTAAAGTATTTTTGAATTTCTTTCAAAAATTTTGGAGATAGTTTTTTCTCATTGAAACACGAATAACAGCTTCTATTCACAGAGTTTTAGCTATGCTCAAGAAAAAAAATTTTTGTAATTTCATATTCCTGATACCAAATGGGAGCTCTTATGTAAATTCGATGAACCGGGTGCACCTACTTTATCTTTTTCAGGAAAAAGAAGAGATGCGGAAAAGCAAAGTTACGATTTGAGCTTGAGACAGGTTATAGGAGATTCAAATGAGACAAAGCACTTTTTCGATCAGGGTAGAAAAATCAATGAAGATGTATTAGAATCAAGCAAAAATGACCGCTTTAAAGCCAGAGAAATTTTGGTAGAAAAACAAACTACTGCTCATCCAGAGCCAATAACAGAAACATCCGAAAATCCAATTGTTGTTCGGGCAAGAATCGAAAAAGAGAAGGGTTATAATTCTTATCAAAAGTTTGAGAAAATTATTATCGGAGCTTTGTCGTATTACATAGAGTGCTCGAAATAGAAAGTTGGAGATTTCTTATCATGTGGTTGGCAAATTTTTGTATGTAGATATAATAGACTAAACATTGCTACTCAACCATTTTTTTTTCTGGAAGTAGAAAAACAAAGTATTATGAATTGTGTTGTTGAGAAGCTAATCGGAAGTTTGAAAATTCTTTCTATTGGAAAAAACTATAATTTAGCTTTCGAGAATTAAAATTTTGGAAAAATATGCTTTATAAAAAGGTGATCTGTTTTACCAGATTTTTTTTTTTGACATTTATACTGTTAAAATGATAAACTTTATGGCATAAATATATCTAGAAACAAGTATCATATTGCAAGCTATTTGGCTGCGATAAAAATATTTTATCTGAACGGTAAAAATTTTGTTAACGTCAGTTTCCAAAGGAAATGAAATTTTTTTTTACTTGTTTTCATCTAATAGTTTTTGTTTGAAACTAAAATTTATTTGAAGTTGTCATGAGTTTTTAATGAATTCGAGATCCTTCAGACTTACAATTGCTTCTCATACTAAAATTTTGACGAAAAATGGCAATGTTTATGTGAATATGCAAGAAAAAAAATAATTATCATGAAGCAGAATTCTGGTGAAACTTCAGATTCAGCCGCTTATCGTGATGACAATGATTTTCTGTATGAAGATGATAACAAAGAAAATAATTTATATGGTGAGAAGTGTAGTCGTGGAAGGTCGAAAAATATTATCTGGGTGTGTGTGCTTGCGTAAGTGTGCTGTTTGTAAATTCGTTTTGTCCTTTGTGACTTTTTTCTAATTTCATATTACTTAAGGCAATTTTTTAATTAGTCTTTGCAGCTGTTAAAAAGTTTCGAATTAGTGTTCTGGTAGAGGTTGTCATTATAGTATTTTGACTTCTATGAGTTGTTTTGAGCAACAGAAATTTCTGTAATTAGAAACTTAATTTTAAAAAATGTTCTTCTTGGTAATGTAAATTTGTAGTAAGCATGTTTATGGAGTACGACAGTTGATGTAACATTATATATTGTACGAAGCTGATTGACGAAAAAATGAATTACTTATTCGTTCGGTTTTGAACTGCTGCGTCATCAGTCATTCATTGCACTGCTTCAAATCTTAATTGTTTCCTTTTATATCAGTAAGGTGAACCTTGATTAGAATAAATTTCAATCAGGAATCTCTTGGAGATACCAATGTGTCTGTTCATAAGCTATGTCCGCTGTCTGTAATTCAACTGTTGTGACTGATATTTGTAGCATGATTGCATGCGAATGTATTTCGTCATCATACCTTTATAGAATGCGTCATACTATATTCGTTTTGGCTTTGTAGATGCAGTTTTAGGAGAAGGGTATTAACTACAAAGCTTTTGAATTAGACTGAATTAGTTTCCTGTTGTATTCGTTCTTTCATTGACAGGCATGTGTCAACTGAGCACGATTAAAGTGTACAACAGTTTATGATTGATTTTTTTGTGTTTGATTTTTTTATTCGGTGATATTCAGATAGGGATTTTCAGTTGAACAATGTGATAAATATGCTCGGCCTTTTTCTGACTGGTTAAAAAGCAATACACATAAATGGCATGAGTTGCTTGGAAAGGTTTGTTAGTTTTATGCTCTTCACAAATTTAGTGTTATTGCATGTTAGGGACAAGTTGTGGGCATCATTTACAAATTGTTAGTAATGCTAAAAAAGTGTCATAGTGTTGTCTGGCCTCACTCGCAAAAATAAATTTATGTCTTAGTGGTTGGCTATTAAGTCTTTCGTGTACATTGATTATCATGTGGAATTAATTCATTTCAGCATGAATTTCCTGTATTTCCAAATTATGGTAAAATAATGACCGGTGGCTGCCATGGTTTTGCAAAAGGTCTTATGTTATGGCCACAGGATTTGATAATTGGTGGGGTAAAAAAAAAGAATGGTATTGTGGACAGTGCAGAAGCTCTACAAAGCGTGTTTTTAGTAGCCTCTCCTGCTGATGTTTATAATCGATTCAAGGTAAGGTTTGTTAGGAGAGCATCAAAAAAACTTGAAATTGAAAGTGTTCCTAATTTCGAAAATTCTTCAAGTGGGCTGTAGACAAACTGTGTTTATAAAAAAAGCACTAACATCACTCTATGCCTAAATGACTTATGCAATTCTTGAACTTTAATAAAGTCTTGACTGTTTTTAATCATTTAGTTTCTAGGATGGATCGAAATTTTATTCAAAACCAAATTTGAATCTGACGGAGTGGGATGTGACTTTGGCTGAAAATGTGATAAAAACATGGCAGCGGAATTTCACAAAGAATTTGTACAATCATGAGTGGAATTTTGTTGATGATCAAAAAAGAAATATGAAGATTACTTATCGTCGGATACATCCTTTGGCATCAACTTCCGTTGCTGATATGTTGAAGGAATTTTGCAAATTCAATTATACTATTATTTTTATTGGGTACTTTCTAAACATGGGAAACATATCTAATCTTAAGTTGTAAGACAAGTCTGTTTGATATGGAGCTTTTGAAAATTTTAATGAAGATTAATAGTTGCTATTTCTAAACCAATAAGATTTTTAAAAATAAAAGTTTTTGCAAAATTTACGTCTTATTCTAAATATTGTTTTAACCAGAACATAGATTTCGAAAATAGTAAGACTAAATTGATCGATTGACTTATATAATCGTTCTATCATAGATATACGAGAAACACAAAAACTGATTATAGCCTCAGCTTTCGAGTCTGCCTAATTTATGACTTTAAATATTAACTTTGTAGAAATTTACATCCACCGTTTTTTCCTGAAGAACCAAATCTAATAATTATTTATTAGATTTTATTTTCATTGTTAAGATTTAGCAATTTTATTCGCTTTAGATATTTCTTAATGTTGCTTTACGCATTGCAATCTCAAATGAAGTGCCATGGATATATGCTAGCTGTTGACTCATGCGTTGGTCTAGCTTTTGCTGGTGTCTTTACTGTGACCTTTGCATCAATATCTGGCTTAGGGTTGGCTACTTGGTTAGGGATCGAGTTCAATGCTGCAACTACTCAAGTAATAACTGAAAGCATTGTGTTCATATTTTTCACTTTTTTCACATACATGCAGTTTTTATCAAATATCAACTATTAAAATGTACACATCATTGAATAAAGTTAGGCAAGATTAGTTTTATTTTCTATTCTTTCATTTGCTATCTTCACTTTTTGGAAAATATCTGACTTTGTTTTTCAACTTCGGTTTCATTTTTTTTAATGGTCTAATTATTTAGTTCTAATTATTGGTATTTAGATAGTGCCATTTTTAACGCTTGGCATTGGCGTGGATAATATTTTTTTGCTCCTACATAATTACCATGGCGTCATAAGAAATGTGAAAAAAAATGAAGTAGGCTTATTGATGAAGGAAACTGGCATGAGCGTTATGATGACATCTATTAATAATATTCTGTCATTCCTTGCTGGAACTTTGTTGCCGATTCCAGCGTTGCGTAGTTTCTGCGCTCAGGTTTGCAGGAAATCCAACTTTTCTATTTTTCTTTTTGCAAAAGCAATGTAGCTCAACTTAACTGCATTTATATGGCGTATAGAAGATGACTATCATATCATCCATAGTTTTACTAGTGGCATTTTTGTCGTACTGAAAAAGGCAAGATATTTGTATAATTTTAGGGATCCGTACATTTAGATTGAATAATTTTTAGTCTTCCATTCTTCTATCGTTCAATCTTATCGCTGTACTTACAATATTCCCTGCAATAATATCTATTGATTTGAAACGACGTAAAAGTTGTCGCCGGGATGTTTGTTGTTGTTCAGTGATAGAAGATTCATTTATGAGAGGCCAAAGCTATGTTGCTACTGGTGTTAAACAACAAATTCAAGTAAGTAAATTTCAAAAATCAATTATTAAGTTATGATTGTGAATCAAAAACTGATTAATAGGATACCCAGTGAAATTAGCTTTTGAAGTATGTTATAGTTGATCAATTAAGTACCGTATTAAAATTATCGGTAAATCTAATATGCAGTATTTTTAGTTCTCGGTCTAACTGGGAGTTTGCAGTTCTGTGGGTAATTACATGCATTAAAAATTTTTATTTTCTTAAACCTTTCGTGCGTTTAGTTGTTTTCCGTAAATTTCTAGTTTCCATTTTTATTTACTATCAGTACGTAATTGTAGGAAAAGTTGACAGTTGGTGAAACAGTGTCTTCATATTATAATTTATATTCTTCTAACGATCGTGATGATGATGTAGAGGATGATGTCGTCAAGCCTTGGACACTTCATGCTTTTTTGCGACATTATTATATACCATTTTTGAAGAAAAGTGTAGTAAAAGTGTGTAAAATTAATTTTCTATCTTAAATTTGATCGTAGTTTAGTTTTTAATATTGATGAACTTTTGCCAGGAATCATTTCTCAATATGCGGACTTTCAGGTAACTGTTATCATTTTTTGCTTATGTATGTTGCTAGCCAGTTGTTTTGGATTACACCGTACTACTTTTGGTCTCGAAATGAGTGATGTATTGCCTGATCAAACAGCACCTGCTGCTTTCCTGAAAGCTCGGGATCGTTATTTTAGCTTTTATCCAATGTTTGCTGTATTACGTGGACCAGGCATTGATTATGCAAAAAATCAGCAGAAAATTGATAACTATCGTTCAAGCATTGGTAATATTTTTTTAATCCTGCGAATTCATGTCCTTGAAATTTCTGCCTTCTCTTGGTATAAAATATCAATGCAGAATTCGGCATGTCGATTCATTGTTATTTATGTTTTTTAAGTCAAAAACCCATCGTTGTTTTATCCAAATGCTGATCATAACACTTTTGATAGTAATTAGAAATCGCATGAATGTAAGAGCTGCATATTTGTTCATCTTTCACTGTTTGTCAGTAGTTGCGATCAGTGTTTTAGGCCGATCACCTTTCGTAGTTAAAAATAGTGATAATGAACCAAGCGAGAAATATTGGCTGTCGCTGCTAAGAATTTGGCTGAGAACTTTGCAGCATAAATTAGATCAAGCAGTAGATAGTGGTTTGGTTAGTTCGGAAATTTCTCAATCTTTTTTCTCTGTTGACCAAGAATTGAAAAAATTTGTTGAAATTTGTGATTTCTGCCAAATTACGTCATTACAAAACAATAGAATTCTTTTCTATGTAAATTTCGTCATTACAAAGCTTTAGTAATATTTTTTAAAAGATTGACTCCTCTACGGGTGCAGTTGTTGGTGAAAATCCAGATTTTTTGGGAGAAAGCGAGAAGTTACCAGCTGATGTCAGTATTGCATACCGTTTAGCTTGTAGTTATGGATTTACTTATAACTGTACGGGTCGCGTGAGTTTTTTTAATGAATATTTTAGTATAATATTTGTTTAAAATAGATCTCGTTATTATGTGATCTAAACCTCAGCAAATTAAATAGCTTGAAAGCATAAGATTTATGAAAACAAGCTACATGATTATGATATTTCTCATCATTATAGCATTTGGTTGTTCACTGTTTCCTGGTTATGATGCATTTGTTTAACATCACTTACTCTTGCTTTTATATTCTCATAGTTATTTAATTATTCGGAAAAAAATGTTGGAGAAGAATTTTTAGTTTTTCAAGATTTTTTTGTTTTTGCATTTACAGATTGGAACGATACGGTTTGTGGATGAGAGTGGGACGATTAATGTTGAAAGTTTTTACAATTATCTGACAGCATGGTATAATAGTGATAACATGATGTATCACGTATCGTTAGCTTCTTTTATTCCTTCTCCACCCAAGTGGTCAGTTGAAGATAAAACAACTCGTCTCGTACCTCCGGCTGGTCCTTTTCACTACAGTCAGATACCTTTCTATCTTACCAATCTTTCCAGCACTCCGGTCATTATAGAGATGGTTAAAGTGAGTCAAATGTTTATTCACCGCATATTTAGGACAGGATTTCATTGAAAATTTGCATATTTAGTATTTGTAATATCTTCGACATACTCTATCTGAAGATTCGTGCTAAAAATACTTGATAGAAATTGTTTTGTTTATTCTTGTCTCAGTTATCGAAACATCAATATTTTGATGAATTTACTGTTGATTGAGCGTTTTCAAAGGAAATTCGGGCGATTTGCGATGAATTCACTGCTGAAGGCCTAAACAATTTTCCATCTGGCGTTGCATTCACATTCTGGGAACAGTATTTACATTTAAGCAAAAATCTTTTTGAAGCTATTTGTGTTATAGCACTGGCTGTATTTTTTGTGATTTCTGTGATCATTTGCAATCCATGGGCTGCTGGTGTGTAATTTTTAGTACTAGAAATTTTTACAGTTTTTGTTCAAATCAAGGATTCATTTTTATTTTTAGCTCTTATCTTACAAGTGAAAACATCCTTTATAAAAACTCATAATTTGTTGTCGTTGAAGAAAGAAAAATATTTTAGGTATTATCGTGATCATTTTAATGGTTATGACTGTTGAGCTTGCTGGCTTCCTGGGTTTGGCAGGAATTAAACTGAATCCGATTTCCGCTGTAACAATTATCACTGCGGTTGGTATCGGTACGTTTATTTGTTCTTATTTCATGCTAGATTCAAGTGTCTTACGTTCGGACTTATCTTACAAAATGTTTCAAACTAAAAATTTTGACTTCTTCAGTCAATTTGAATGAGATTAGAACTTAGCTGTTTCATTTTTCGTCATCTCCATTACCTGTAGATGATGTTCATGCATAAGTTTTTTTCGTTCGTTTATCGCCCTCGTTAATTGCTTTTTTGGTCAAGAATAAGTAAATTTACTATCAAATTTCGACATATTAAGGATCTTTAATTATAAAATCATATCGAAGTTCTTGCTTGGCAGAACTTTAAAAGGATTTAATTATAAAACAACGCTTTAATCTCTGATTTGTAATCAATTCCAAATGAGGATGTATTTTGTTAAAGGTGTAGAATTTACTGCGCATATTGTATTGGCATTTTTAACGGCGCTTGGTACCCGAAATGATCGAATGGCTTCGTGTATTGACCGTGTCTTCGTGCCTGTAATTCATGGTGCTTTGTCAACACTGCTCGGCATTATAATGCTTTCATTTTCTGAATTTGAATTTGTCGTTAAATATTTTTTTGTGGTCATGTCAGCATTAATTTTTCTTGGTGTTATCAATGGTCTTGTTTTGCTGCCTGTTTTGTTGTCACTTATTGGACCACCATGTGAGGTTAGATCTTGATGAATCGTGTTTATCTGCTCTAAAAAGAACCTTAACCAGCTGATTAAGTATTTGAGAATCATACGTTTACTAACTCAGTTTCTTTTTTGTGCCTCATACTTGAATTCTCGATTTTATGTTCTAATTATTTAGAATCAGTTACGAGCAAAAATTACTGAAATGACAGTTTTGCAACTAGTTTTACAATCTTGTCTATTTACAGATTGAAACGTTGGATGGAAGTAATTGTTTACCTCCACCACCACCTTTACATGAACGTAAAAAACTGAATACACAAGAAACACAAGCTCATCGTCGTAATTGTTCGGATGATAGCAATACCGCTACTTTAAGTTCTGAGAATGTACGTCTTCTTGTTCCAACGTTATTGCGAGTCTTTAGAGTACTTTTCGGTCCAAATATGAATTTTTGATATTTGAAAAATTTTTATAGTGTTTAGTTCTTGTTTTTTAGTTAAAATCTCAAATTCCAAAAGTGTACCGAGAAGTTTTGTCTGAAAACTAATGTTTTTTGCTGAAGAATTTCAGTGCAGTACAATGCTGTTAATAGCTCCGACGCGAAGGGGTAATGATCCTTCAACAGTACCACGGCTGTTACCAAATGGTCATGCTCGATCTGCAAGTGCTCATATTGTGTGAATCAAAAGTATGATTTCCGAAAGTTGATCTTGTGGTTTGATCGCTCTCTTTGTTTTGCATATTATTTCACTAACCTTTTGTAAAATTAATACGTCATGATGAAAATATTACGAAAAGACATGATTGGCTGCTGAGAATTTCGTGCGGCAAAAAGCGGATGAATTAAGATTTTATTTGAAAGTATATTTGTTGCCGACGATAAATTTGTTGGAAATCTCAATTGGCCTTGTTGAGATTGAATAGAGAATCAAAGCGAGATGTGTTTGCTTTCATGTAGTAATTTATATCTTCTTCATTATCGATGATCTCACAGATGGTGCGTCTCTTTTATTTTCTGTCTCTATCTCTAGTTTTCAGATTTTCATTAATTTCTGTTTACATATCATTGATGGAGAAATGGAAAAGCAAAGGATTATCAAAAATCAAAAGTAATTTTCTGACTAGTTATTTTAGAAACAGGGTAAGTTTTAGACAGTACTTCACTATTCATCATTTCGCGATTTTCATTTTTTCATGTCTAGATTACCTTTTTAATTAGTTTATTTTTTTTTCAACTTTTTGATTAGATTTAGTCTCGAAATGAATGATGACTACATTCACTGATGAAAAGAAAAAATAGAAGTTCTTATCATGCTAGTGGTATAATGAGAGAGCCGAATTATAGGTCAGGCCGAATTATAGTTTTTTTTTGGATGCGTAGCGCTTGATAAACTAATGTTTTCAAATGTTAATTTTCATAAAAATATCTGATTCATTTTGTGCCCATAATGCAGTAATGA